ATTAAAGTCAAAATTCTGGGATTACAGTCAGACTTTTGAGAAAAAAAGTCAGACTTTTGAGAAAAAAAGTCAGACTTTTGAGAAAAAAGTCAGACTTTTGAGAAAAAAAGTCAGACTTTTGAGAAAAAAAGTCAGACTTTTGAGAAAAAAAGTCAGACTTCTGAGAAAAAAAGTCAGAATTCTATTATACTGAAATAAAATTAAAAAATCAGTTAATTTGTTTGTTTTTTTCCAGTGGCCCTAATCCTCTTCTGTAACATACCGTATCTGTGACCTCAGAGTCAGAAAAACCATCAAACGTCTCAGCACTGTCAGAGTCCTCTGCAAAGACCTCAGCTAAGTTCTTCATTTTAGCTTCATACGCCGCCTGTTTATAAACAATAAAAATAGCTTTTAAAAACATCAATATATGAATACCTGGTTATATTCAGTGGCCATTTAATGCGCAAAAAAACATATTTCATATATATTTCTGTACCTTTCCACTCATGACTCCACAGGTGAAAACTTTGCTAGGTTATGGAGCAGTTAAAGCCTGATTGGAAATCAGTCGCGCTTGCTTTAAGGTTTTGGACACACCGAGGGGGGCGGGGCTTTAGTTGTAGAGCGCACGCGATAATTTGGTTGTTTTTAATTTTACTTTTGTCGCTCCAACTTATAGAAGCAAATCGTTACCTTATTTAAAATGAAAAAGCATTTTCAGAAATGCTTTTTTCATTTTAAGAATATGGCTGCATTGTTTGTCTCATAAATGAAATTAGTAATCAATCATCATATTACCAACTGAGGTAAACCAGTCAATAAGTGGGATAAATATTTTTGCAAATAAAACACTAACACAAGTGTTATACCTTATACTAACTATCATCGTTAAAGTAAATTTTATCTAATTAGCTGAGAGGGTCATATAAATTACTGCCTTTATGATATCTGTAATTAAGGCTGTACTTTTTGAGGAATATTAAATCAAATTTTATCAATCAACAAATGATTAATTGATGAGCTGCCATTTTCTACAAAACGTGGATTTCTCTTCAACAAGATTTTTTTTTTCCATAACATGAAGGGCTATTTTTTTTTTCTTACCTGTGCTGAATTTAATAAAGGGTTGTTGTTGTTGTTTTTTTTTTTTGTGCCTTTTTTTTAAATTATAATTTATTGTGTCAGCTGTTTAATATACTGGCAAAACAAAATCAGTTTTTTCAAACACATTATAAAAATGTAGACAGATTTATAAAAATACAACAAATCAGGAATTGATAATAAGATGAATCTGTGGGTATATGGCTGTAATAAAAATGCGGTCAGCCTGCTTTTTATTTCTGTCAGACTTTACTTGCCACTTCATGTCAGGGAAGTGGACTTGGCCTGTGACATAGCTTTGATTTCAGTGTAATTTAGCAATCAGTGTCTCTTAGCAGTGTTTAGGGCTTGACACACTGGAGGTGACGTTGCTCCCATTCATTCTTTTCCTAAAGAAGTCAGGTGATTAGCTGACAATCTCAATCCCTTCCTCCAGCCAAGAAACAAGTGGAATTTAATGATGATAAAGATTTTACTTTATTGATCTCACATTAAAAACATTTACCTCTACATTTATCCCATCCCCTTGGTGAGCAGTGGGCTGCCATTGTGGGGCACCCCGGGGAGCAGTGTGGTGGTTAAGGATCTTTGCTCAGGGATCAGAGTGGTAGTCTGTGGGAGTGGGGCTCAAACTCAGATACTCAGAATTCCAAGCTCTATTCCCTAACCACTAGGCTGCCATTTATGCATTGGAAATTTTGAGCTTATCCAAATAGATGTGCACATACACATCTTTAATTTGGTTGAAAAGCTGACACTGCTCTGCTATGCAGCATGACAGAATAGACTCTGTTTAGGTCACAACTTAAGGAAGCATTGGAGTGTTCCATCTTAACAAACAGAAACACATAGTGCATACTGCATCATTGTTACCAAAAGACAACACAATTTTCAGATATTATTTGTAAAAAAATATATATATTTCGTTAGATACCTCTATACAGTAGACTGAGTTTTCTTACAATACTGAAGACATTTATTAGAAAGTTTAAAGGGTGTAAATGCTTTTCCAATGCGACATTACTCATTTTTTTCAATACTTTACAGGAGTACCTGATTGCAGCTTGTAATAAAAGTCAATCACTTCAGAGCCTTTCCCAAGAAACAGAATAATTTGATCTTGAAATCCATGACTGAAACAATTAATCAGATTAATCCTGATTACTAAATAATTTAACTAACCGTCAAATAATTTAGTAATCAATTAATCATTACCTGGAGTGTAGAGAGTCTAAAACATGCCTTTAGCTGACAGAGCGACCCACTTAGGGCAGCAATTATATCAAGATTGTAAAAAAGAAAGAGAAAATACAATGTAAAAACATTTTGCATTTAAGATAAAAATCTTTTTTGTCAATAAGCTCTATCCAGAACTCCTCAAGTAGAAAAGTTTTAGTTTCACCTGGTGTATTTTTGCAAAAGGTATCTTTTGCTAACCCACTATTAATCGATTAATCAAAAAATCATTGACACATTAATCGCAAAATAATGTGATTAATTTGCAAAATAATAATTAGTTGCATCCCTACTGTTAAGGTCATGTAGGGTTTCAATAAAGGACATTGAAGTAGATGGGACAGCTACTCTGGAGCTGAGAGCAAAAACAAAACCATTTTTATCCTATGATTAAGGTTTTTTTTCTTTTTCATACCAGTGGTCACTGTCAGAGTTACAAGTCTGCTTTCCACCATAATCACAATAAGAACAATTAAATATTCTATTCCTCAGTTTGTCAAATTGGAAACAGCCTCTGATACTAATGTAAAAGTGTTTAGGTCTATATGACCTGTAAATATGTCTCTTTTTCTTTACATCAGATACTTAATTGTGACAAAAAGTACAACATGAATTTAGTGTTTATGGATAATAATTTTATTTATTAATGAAGACTATATGCTGATTTTTGTAAAAGTAGGCTCGTCCTTGTTTTATGTTTTGGATTTGCTCTTAATGTTCTGTAATAGTAATGTTCAGAATATGTGTTGCATTAAAATGGTAAAACGGTTTAAGAAAGTAAATCGGAGTCTAACTTAAACAGGCTAAAATGCATTTTAACATGGGTATATAGGTTTTGCATCGGTTCAGTCTATGATTTAAGATACTGTGTAATCCTGAGTATTTCATATGATTTTATGTCAATTTATGATCTCTTTCTGCTAAGGGAGGGGTCAAGGGGATCTGGGGAAACTGATGGGATTTTGTCTACTCCTGTAACATCACCAGAAACTACTCCTAAGCTTTGTGGTAGTGCCTATCCCTCCTGCACTTTAATTGTAGATAACTTCCTTCTCCAGCTGCAGAAATATGTGCTCAGAGTTGCAAACCAAAACACATGCAGAACACATAGGCAGAAAATTTTAGGTCATTGTGTTCATTGTATATCTGTTTGTTATGGTCTTATTTTGTTTTTGTTGTGATTGTTATTTTATCTGCCCTCTTTCCATACAACTTTGATTTGTTGCTATGGTGAAGTATATTTATATTGTATTGTTATACTGCTTAAAATGAGCTTTCATGATGTAATGGATTTCGATTAAACATGATATGATTTTTACTTTTGTCAGTAATATCTACCGAGTCATCCGGCTCCAGACTTTTGGTCTGGAATATGCCTCCTGTTTGTTTTGTTTTTTTTGTATTGAAAAGATTTCATAAACAAACTATTATACAGATTTTATAGATAAACAATTATATAGAAGAACATTGTACAGGGGCTCTAAAATAAAATAGAAATAGTAACAATTAAAAGAAGTGTAAAGACATTATTCTTTCATTATTCTTTGAAAAATCTCTCAGAATTATGGCTCTGTTTCAATTCAATTAATGGAAGAGATTTCTTGTACTCTTTGTGAAAGAAACATCTGAAGTTTGGGGGATTTTTGGGAGTATTTACATTTGTGTATATGATATTTGAGTAGGGTTGTAACAAAAGTAGACATTTTTTTGCACAACGTCACTATCACTTTATGTGGATTTACAGTTATGCATACAAACATATATACATATATATATATACATATATATATATATGTCATCCTGCATGCCAGTACTATATATATATA